ACCTCTATCTACTAACAGTTTAAACCCAAACAAACACCTCTAACCACTTCTTCTAGCGAGTTCGCAACAGCAACAACCCCAGCTCTCGATAGATGCACCCCATCACGAGCATACATTTCATTTCTTCCATAGAAGTGTTCCCAGTTGTCTATGAAAGATATTGCATTTGATTTGCAATATCTTTCCAGCCGGCAATTGACACCAAGTGCCCTCGATATCCATTCATTTCCCACTCCCTTTCTTGGAAGAATGCCACATATGATCGGGATTCCTCCCTTGCTCCTAACTAACTCTATGGCTGTTTTATACCTCTGAATCAGTTCCTCACTCCTGACTCGACCAACATCATTTCCTCCCACGCTAATGCAAATAATGGGATTGTTCCCATTACCAGCCATAATATCATTCATGTTGTTTATAATATCACCAATGCCAGCTCCGGGATAGCAAACCCTTAACCTGTTCCCCCTATCTCTAGCACAAAACGTTCTATCCAAATACCTTATCTGGGAATCTCCCACAACTAATGTTTGCTTAGGTACTTCCTTTACTTTCTGAGGGGCCTGCGCTTCCTTTCTCTTCGTTGCTTTCCCTTTTGCGCGATCCACAGTCTCTCCACAGCACTCGTCCTCCAAAACGTCAAATGAATTTGAAGTTGCTATGGCGTTTGAAGGCGGCTTTATCAAAGTCTTCTTAAGGCCCCTGTCTTTCGCAACTCTCCAAGACGAGGTCCCTTTACTGCTGGTCTCCTCCTTCGTTACTTCTCGTTGTTTTTTAAGCTGACGCACCTCCTCCCGCAGAGAGTCCAACTCTGTCCTCAGGGCTCCCACTAGAGTCACCAGGTCCTTCACTACAACTTCCATATTGCTATGATAATATAACAACACTCAGGAGCTCCGGTTAACACAACCTCTCACTGTGACTTCACCTGGAAGTCACCTGAGTTCTCTCTCAGAGTACTAGTTGCACCTCTGTTTTTCAACGGGGGTATTCTGCACATCCTGCCATGTCTTCTGGTCTCATGTGATGTTATTTCTGTGTGCAGGTTTGGGACCAGCCCCTCTAATATTTTCCATGTGTAAATTATTATGTACCTCTCCCGCCTGCGCTCAAGGGAGTACAGTTTTAGGCTCTTTAGTCGCTCCCAATAGTTTAGATGTTTTACTGAGTGGACTATCGCTGGGTTCATGTCTCGCTCCAAGACCGGCTGCCACCCCATACCCAAGACTTTCCAATCAATTTGACCCAAAAAAATTCTAAGGCTATTAAAATCAGCTTTTCGAAAATCTGGCACTTTAACAGAATTTTCTCCTACAGGTCTATTCCATTCTATGCTAAATCTGATTTCTTTGTGATCACTGTTCCCTAGCTCACTCCCTATTTCGATGTCATTAATTTGTGTTTCCCTGTTAGTTAACACTAAATCTAAAATATTATTTTTCCGTGTTGGTTCCTTAATGTGTTGCGTAAGAAAGCAATCGTCAATTAATTCTAGAAAATCTTCTGCTTCACTATTCCCTGTTTTGTTCAACCAGTTTATTCCACTAAAATTAAAGTCACCCATGACGTAAATACTGTTAGATCTAGATGCCCTAGATATTTCATCCCATAGATGCTTTGCTTCCATTCTGTCTAAATTTGGTGGCCTATATATAACTCCTATTATAATTTGCTTTTTCGTATAATTCTATCCAAATAGTTTCTGTGTGTGGCTCAGTTTTGATTCCCTCTTTGAGACTACATTTCAAATTGTCCCTAACATATATGGCTACTCCCCCTCCTCGTCTAATATATCTATCTGTGTGAAATAGTTTAAATCCATTTATTTGATATTCAGCTAATAGTTCTCTATTTTCTACATTCATCCACGTTTCGGTAAGTGCAATAATATTAATTTTTTCTGTACAGACAAGAGCATTTAATTCGTTAATTTTATTTCTTAGACTTCTACTGTTAGTGTAATATACCCTAAGTGAATTGTTATTTTGAGGCCCTTCTCTTTCCCTGATCATTTTGCCAATTCCTTTCTCCCACAAACACATACTTTTATTACCTCCTCCTTCCAAATCAATTCCCATACCTCTATCTACTAACAGTTTAAACCCAAACACCTCTAACCACTTCTTCCAACGAGTTCGCAACAGCAACAACCCCAGCTCTCGATAGATGCACCCCATCACGAGCATACATTTCATTTCTTCCATAGAAGTGTTCCCAGTTGTCTATGAAAGATATTGCATTTGATTTGCAATATCTTTCCAGCCGGCAATTGACACCAAGTGCCCTCGATATCCATTCATTTCCTACTCCCTTTCTTGGAAGAATGCCACATATGATCGGGATTCCCCCCTTGCTCCTAACTAATTCAATGGCTGTCCTGAATCTCTGTATTAGTTCCTCACTCCTAACTCGTCCAACATCATTACCCCCTGCACTAATACAAATAATGGGTTTGTTTCCATTTCCTGTCATAATATCATTCATGTTTCCAACAATATCACCAATTCCAGCTCCCGGATAGCAAACCCTTAGTCTGTTCCCCCTATCTCTGGCACAAAACGTTCTGTCTAAATACCTCACCTGGGAATCTCCCACAACCAAAATTCACTTCGATTCTCCCTTTTCCTTTCGAGCAGTTTGAGGGACCTGCGCTTCAATGCTCCTCGTTACTTTGTCTTTGCCACCTCGTTGAACAACAGGTTCAACACAGCACTCGTCCTCTAATACGTCAAATGCGTTAAAAGTCCTTAGGTGTAGGCTATTAGTTGTCGGTTTTGCCAAGGTCTTCTTAAGACCCTTGTCTTTCACAACTTGCCAAGACGAGGTCTTCTTAATACTGGTCCCGTCAGTCCTCCTTAATGAGGTCCCGTCAACACTGGCCTCCTTCGTTTCCTCCCGAAGTCGTAGCCGTCGTACCTCCTCCCGCAGGGAATCCATCTCTGCTCTCAGAGCTCCAACCAGACTCGCCAAATCTTTTACTAATCCTTTCATTATTGCAATAATAATGTTATTAGAAGCTCCAGCTAACACAACCTCTCACTGTGACTGCACCTGACTGACTGTGACTGCACCTGACTGACTTATCTCTCTCTTTCAACATTTCTAACCAGTTGGACGAATTCTTGTTCTAAACTGACTTCCCCATTCTTTATCCTTTTGTACCAAGCTCTCTTTCCACCTATAAGGTTCTTCAGATCCTTTGTTATCTATTTCGGATCATTAGTATTCGGTCTATTCATATTGCATGTGTGACGATAATCTCCTTCAAGAGATTGAGCCTGCTCTTCCCTCCTAAGTTCGTCGCTATACATCCCTATACAACTAATATGGAAGAAATATCCAACAAGTACAACTCCAAGGTTTGCCAGAGAGCAAACGTATTCAGCACCAGGAACACCTGCTCTGCCTCCACCACTCGAACCACCAAACTACCTGTCCGTCGCCTGCTCATCGCTGATTGGCTGGTGGTCAGTTGCACCCGCTCCTCCACCGCCACACTACCTGATGTCTGGGGCCGCCACGACCTGCAGACCTCAGAATATCCAGTGCTTTCAACAAGTTAACACGTCTCGTTGGTAGACTAAGCTCTGGCTTACGTGTACTAAGAGAGGTGGCAGCTTAAAGCCAATATTCCTGCACCCATATTTTGCATTGTATATTGTTCACTTGTTATTACTCACTTGTCTTAACGTAACTTTTCATTTTGCCATTTGATTATTCTTATTATTTTGATTGATTGATTTTATGTTCCAATTTGTATGTCCATTTTATTCATGTTTTGCTTTTCTAACGTAATTAAAATCTCATTGTTAAATTTACTTGTTTTGTGTGTCTTCCCATTACCTTACCACAGACGAAGTTCCAGATTTTCTTTTTTTTTTGTTTCTATATGTGACGAGGCCATACCCCTAGCTTTTGAAACAGCCGAACACCAACGCGTTACCGTCCAACCCGTTCTCGCAAATTTAATAAGTCAATATTGACTTATTAAATATGTGCATAGGTGACATACTTAACATAATAGATACCCTTAAAAAGATTCATAGAAAACACCGACCTTACCTAACCTTGTTAGTATCTTAAGATAAGCATCTTATTGCTTCGTAATTACAATTATTACCTAACCTATAATAGGTATAGGTTAAGTAATAATTGTAATTACGAAGCAATAAGATGCTTATCTTAAGATACTAACAAGGGTTAGGTAAGGTCGGTGTTTTCTATGAATCTTTTTAGGGGTATCTATTATGTTTAGTATATCACCTATGCACGTAGTTAATAAGTCAATATTGACTTTATGAATTTGCGAGAACGGGTTGTACCGTCACACATGGTATACTACTTTATTGTACTTTGCTTAGAATATTTTTTAAATACGTTATATTTTGAATCTACATCGAAATCCCTTTTTGCATCACCCATCGCTGGGTTCACACCTCACTCCAAGACCGACCCACCCCCCATGCCCAAGACTTTCCAATCTATTTCACCTAAAAAGTTTCTTAAGCGATCAAAATCAGCTTTTCGAAAGTCTGGCACTTTAACAGAATTTTCCCCTCACAAATCTATTCCATTCTGTACTAAACCTGATTTCTTTGTGATCTCTGTTCCCTAGCTCGCTCCCTATTTCGATGTCATTAATTTGTGTTTCCCTGCTAGTTAAAACTAAGTAAAATATTATTTACCTGCATTGGTTCCTTAATGTGTTGCATAAGAAAGCAATTGCCAATTCCAGAAAGTCTTCTGCTTCATTATTCCCATTTTTGTTAAACTAGTTTATTCTACTAAAATTTAAGTCACCCATGACACACATACTGTTAGACCTAGATGCTCTAGATATTTCATATCAATAGAGGCTTTGCTTCCATTCTAAGTTTGATGGCCTGTATAGAACTCCTATTATAAGATTATTTGCTTTTTCGCTTAATTCTAGCCAAATAGTTTGTGTGTGGCTCAATTATGATTTCCTCTTTGAGACTACATTTCAGATTTTCCCTAACATATGTGGCTACTCCCCCTCGTATATTGCAGGCGGTGTAGGGCAGGTGAGATTGCAGGCTGTGTAGGGCGTCCTCGTGCCCCGCTGGTAAGGTCGCGAGCGGTGTAGGGCGTCCTCGTGCCCTGCTGGTAAGGTCGCGGGCGGTGTAGGGCGTCCTCGTGCCCTGCTGGTGAGGTCGCTGGAGGTGTAGGGCGTCCTCGTGCCCTGCTGGTAAGGTCGCGAGCGGTGTAGGGCGTCCTCGTGCCCTGCTGGTAAGGTCGCGAGCGGTGTAGGGCGTCCTCGTGCCCTGCTGGTAAGGTCGCGGGCGGTGTAGGGCGTCCTCGTGCCCTGCTGGTGAGGTCGCGGGCGGTGTAGGGCGTCCTCGTGCCCTGCTGGTGAGGTCGCGGGCGGTGTAGGGCGTCCTCGTGCCCCGCTGGTAAGGTCGCGGGCGGTGTAGGGCGTCCTCGTGCCCCGCTGGTGAGGTCGCGGGCGGTGTAGGGCGTCCTCGTGCCCTGCTGTTGAGGTCGCGGGCAGTGTAGGGCGTCCTCGTGCCCTGCTGGTGAGGTCGCGGGCGGTGTAGAGCGTCCTCGTGCCCCGCTGGTGAGGTCGCGGGCGGTGTAGGGCGTCCTCGTGCCCTGCTGGTGAGGTCGCGGGCAGTGTAGCTCGTCCTAGTGCCCCGCTGGTGAGGTCGCAGGCTGTGTAGGGCGTCCTCGTGCCCCGCTGGTGAGGTCGCGGGCGGTGTAGGGCGTCCTCGTGCCCCGCTGGTGAGGTCGCGGGCGGTGTAGGGCGTCCTCGTGCCCCGCTGGTGAGGTCGCAGGCTGTGTAGGGCGTCCTCGTGCCCCGCTGGTGAGGTCGCGGGCGGTGTAGGGCGTCCTCGTGCCCCGCTGTTGAGGTCGCGGGCGGTGTAGGGCGTCCTCGTGCCCTGCTGGTGAGGTCGCGGGCGGTGTAGAGCGTCCTCGTGCCCCGCTGGTGAGGTCGCGGGCGGTGTAGGGCGTCCTCGTGCCCTGCTGGTGAGGTCGCGGGCAGTGTAGCTCGTCCTAGTGCCCCGCTGGTGAGGTCGCAGGCTGTGTAGGGCGTCCTCGTGCCCCGCTGGTGAGGTCGCGGGCGGTGTAGGGCGTCCTCGTGCCCCGCTGGTGAGGTCACGGGCGGTGTAGCTCGTCCTCGTGCCCCGCTGGTGAGGTCGCAGGCTGTGTAGGGCGTCCTCGTGCCCCGCTGGTGAGGTCATGGGCGGTGTAGCTCGTCCTCGTGCCCCGCTGGTGAGGTCGCAGGCTGTGTAGGGCGTCCTCGTGCCCCGCTGGTGAGGTCGCAGGCTGTGTAGGGCGTCCTCGTGCCCCGCTGGTAAGGTCGCGGGCGGTGTAGGGCGTCCTCGTGCCCCGCTGGTAAGGTCGCGGTCGTTGGTCAGGTCATCCCGCCGCACTTCACAGTGCATCACAACACTTTCTTTCAAATACACTTTCTGCTTTGTTTTGTTTTTTTTATCTTTTTATGGTTTCTGTCAGCTTGCCAGATATTCACCCCGTATACACTTTTCCACTGCGATATTATCCCTTCCAAATTAATAGAAAATACTGGAGTTTACCCCCCACCCGCGCCCTCAATCTCACAGGCAAGGTAAACATAATGTTGACCCTGTGTGGGCCCCGAGGCAGTATGTACTCACCTAGTTGTACTCACCTAGTTGTGTTTGCGGGGGTTGAGCTCTGGCTCTTTGGTCCCGCCTCTCAACCGTCAATCAACAGGTGTACAGATTCCTGAGCCTATCGGGCTCTGTCATATCTACACTTGAAACTGTGTATGGAGTCAGCCTCCACCACATCACCCCCTAATGCATTCCATTTGTCAACCACTCTGACACTAAAAAAGTTCTTTCTAATATCTCTGTGGCTCATTTGGCACTCAGTTTCCACCTGTGTCCCCTTGTGCGTGTTCCCCTTGTGTTAAATGGACTGTCTTTATCTACCCTATCAATCCCCTTCAGAATCTTGAATGTGGTGATCATGTCCCCCCTAACTCTTCTGTCTTCCAGCGAAGTGAGGTTTAATTCCCGTAGTCTCTCCTCGTAGCTCATACCTCTCAGCTCGGGTACTAGTCTGGTGGCAAACCTTTGAACCTTTTCCAGTTTAGTCTTATCCTTGACTAGATATGGACTCCATGCTGGGGCTGCATACTCCAGGATTGGCCTGACATATGTGGTATACAAAGTTCTGAATGATTCTTTACACAAGTTTCTGAATGCCGTTCGTATGTTGGCCAGCCTGGCATATGCCGCTGATGTTATCCGCTTGATATGTGCTGCAGGAGACAGGTCTGGCGTGATATCAACCCCCAAGTCTTTTTCCTTCTCTGACTCCTGAAGAATTTCCTCTCCCAGATGATACCTTGTATCTGGCCTCCTGCTCCCTACACCTATCTTCATTACATTACATTTGGTTGGGTTAAACTCTAACAACCATTTGTTCGACCATTCCTTCAGCTTGTCTAGGTCTTCTTGAAGCCTCAAACAGTCCTCTTCTGTTTTAATCCTTCTCATAATTTTAGCATCGTCCGCAAACATTGAGAGTCCTGGGACGCTGAGTCCCATTATCGACAGCTGAGTCCCATTGAGAGTCCTGGGATTGAGTGGGGTCCTGGGACGCTGCGTGGGGTCCTGGGACGCTGCGTGGGGTCCTGGGACGCTGCGTGGGGTCCTGGGACGCTGCGTGGGGTCCTGGGACGCTGCGTGGGGTCCTGGGACGCTGCGTGGGGTCCTGGGACGCTGCGTGGGGTCCTGGGACGCTGCGTGGGGTCCTGGGACGCTGCGTGGGGTCCTGGGACGCTGTGTGGGCCCCTGGGACGCTGTGTGGTGCCCTGGGACGCTGTGTGGGCCCCTGGGACGCTGTGTGGTGCCCTGGGACGCTGTGTGGGCCCTAGCTATCTGGGACGTTTGGAGTCTTGGGATACTTTTTTGATTCTGGGATACTATTTTGGGTCCTGGGATATTGTGTGGGGGTTCTTGGATACTGTATGGGCCCTGGGACACTGTGTGGGGCTCATGGTATGCTGCTTCGGTCCTGGGATACTGTGCGGACCCTAGGAACTTTGTAGGCTCTGGGATACTGTTTGGGGCCCTGGGACACCGTTTGGGGCCCTGGAAGCTCTGTGGGGGGGGCGGGGGGGGGGGGGAGTGGGAGAACGGACACTGTGTGGAACCCCTTGGAGGAATGCATGGGGTCCTGTAACACTTGTGTGGGGGTCCTGTAACACTTGTGTGGGGGGTCCTGTAACACTTGTGTGGGGGGTCCTGTAACACTTGTGTGGGGGGTCCTGTAACACTTGTGTGTGTGGGGGTCCTGTAACACTTGTGTGGGGGGGGGTCCTGTAACACTTGTGTGGGGGGGGGGTCCTGTAACACTTGTGTGTGTGGGGGTCCTGTAACACTTGTGTGGGGGGGTCCTGTAACACTTGTGTGGGAGGGGGTCCTGTAACACTTGTGTGGGGGTCCTGTAACACTTGTGTGGGGGGTCCTGTAACACTTGTGTGGGCGGTCCTGTAACACTTGTGTGGGGGGTCCTGTAACACTTGTGTGGGGGGTCCTGTAACACTTGTGTGGGGGGTCCTGTAACACTTGTGTGGGGGGGGGTCCTGTAACACTTGTGTGGGGGGGTCCTGTAACACTTGTGTGGGGGGAGGGGTCCTGTAACACTTGTGTGGGGGGGGGGGGTCCTGTAACACTTGTGTGTGGGGGGGGGGGGTCCTGTAACACTTGTGTGGGGGGGGTCCTGTAACACTTGTGTGGGAGGGGGTCCTGTAACACTTGTGTGGGGGGGGGGGTCCTGTAACACTTGTGTGGGGGGGGTCCTGTAACACTTGTGTGGGGGGGGGGTCCTGTAACACTTGTGTGGGAGGGGGTCCTGTAACACTTGTGTGGGGGTCCTGAAACACTTGTGTGGGGGTCCTGTAACACTTGTGTGGGGGGGTCCTGTAACACTTGTGTGTGGGGGGGTCCTGTAACACTTGTGTGTGGGGGGGTCCTGTAACACTTGTGTGGGGGTCCTGTAACACTTGTGTGTGGGGGGGGTCCTGTAACACTTGTGTGTGGGGGGGTCCTGTAACACTTGTGTGTGGGGGGGTCCTGTAACACTTGTGTGTGGGGGGGTCCTGTAACACTTGTGTGTGGGGGGGTCCTGTAACACTTGTGTGGGGGTCCTGTAACACTTGTGTGTGGGGGGGTCCTGTAACACTTGTGTGGGGGGGGGGGTCCTGAAACAGCGCGTTTGACCCTAAGACGCAGCAGCATTCAGCACGACAATGTAATATCAACCAGGTAGTCACGGAACTATGACCCGCCTGGCCCTCAAGCCACAGACGCAGGAGAGGACGCGGTCCTGCCATATCAAAGGTTGGGGGAGCAACAGGAGCCGCGGGCCGTATGGGATGTTGACCCAAGCCACGCTCCCCATCGACCATCTCGGCCCCCATACATTACCATCCAGGGAGAATGGGAAGACAGCGAGGCGCTAATATGACGTTACCATGGAGTTTTTCCGGGGCTTAGCGTCCCCGCGGCCCGGTCGTCGACCAGACCACCTCGTTGCTGGACTGGTCAACCAGGTTGTTTGACGCGGCTGCTCGCAGCCTGACGTATGAATCATAGCCTGGTTGATCAGGTATCCTTTGGAGGTGTTTATCCAGTTCTCTCTTGAACTGGATAACACTGTGAGGTGTCGGCCAGTTATGCCCCTTATGTGTAGTGGAAGCGTGTTGAACAGTCTCGGGCCTCTGATGTTGATAGTTCTCTCTCAGAGTACCTGTTGCACCTCTGCTCTTCAACGGGGGTATTCTGCACATCCTGCCATGCCTCCTGGTCTCTTGTGATGTTATTTCTGTGTGAAGGTTTGGGACCAGCCCCTCTACTATTTTCCATGTATAGATTATTATGTGTACGCTACTCATACGTAGAGAATTGTTAGGAGTAACGTAGAACCTCGCTTGAGTGGTCAGGTAGTGGAGGCCAGAAACGTTAGGGATAATCCGCTCGTTCCTTCAAATGTGTGTCCAGCGTGAGAATATTTATAAGTGCGTAATAACAAACCCCGGCGTAGGAGGCGCCCCCCCCCCCCAACTCCCGGCGTAAGAGGCGGCCCCCCCCCCTCACTCCCGGCGTAGGTGCCCCCCCCCCCTCACTCCCGGCGTAGGAGGCGCTCCCCCCCCCCCCCCCACACTCTCCCACTCCCCATTTTACAAGGAATAATCTAGGTGTGTTAGCAGCTCAAGATGAAAGGGGGCCGGCCAGGGAAGCCCCCGCCATTATCAGCAGTATATCAAAAGTTAGGAAATGAAAATGGTAAGCTACATATATCCTCATAAGTCTTAAACGAACTTAAAGCATCACTGCGACATTCAGACATATTATTTGTTAAGGTCAAATACATCTGACACAATGTGCGCTCAAAGTTATGCAATGGGTTGTTCTGAAATCAGAATCTAGTTTTATCTATCGACACCTTATAACTGGAGAGCAATTCTTCATTCATACGTTTTCCTTGAGAATTTCTCGCTGTATACAGGCAGGTAATAGGTTAGTGCCCAATACCTTTCAAGATTATGTCCATTCGATCGGCAAGACCGGATGGACATTATCCATCCGGTCTTGTGTTGGACATCATGTGGATGGTGGTGTCATACCCCAGGGTAACACACCACCATATTACCGCCCTTGTTGCCACCTAACGACCAATAAGCTTGACATCGATCGCGGGAAGGTTCCTGGGAGCGATAATTTCAGATTATACAAGAAATCATCTAGAAAATGATAGGTTGATAAGAGACTACCAACACGGCCATACTAGAGGTTGGTCCTATCTCATTAACGTATCTTTTTAGTCATGTGCTTTTGAGACAGTTTACAGTATTAGTAAATACGATGTATATCACAGCAAGTCTTCGACACGTCCAATTGAGAAGCAACTTAGGAAGGTGGAACCGCCTAGCATGGGAGGAAACATAAGAACTGCATCAGCGTATGGCTGAAAGACATAAAACAGAAGGTCGGAATATATATATACTCATCTTATTCTACTCGCCTAATTGTGCTTGCGGGGGTTGAGCTTCGGCTCTTTGGTCCCGCCTCTCAACCGCCAATCAAGTTGTGAAGTGGGAGTGGCTGGTTGCCGCTAGCAGTGTACAGCAGGACTCTACACCGGGCCCACAGTTTTTCACGGATTGCGTCAACGACCTGGATACTTGGAGAGACCGGTGGTATCGGCAGGACTGCGGACAACACAAAGACTGATGAACTGCGCAGAGCCTTAAACTTCAGTGCGTGGCAGAAGAATAGCAGATGCATTTTATCGTTCAGAAATGCACAATTCTTTAAGCTAGGGAAAGACAGCAATGCTATATGTAAAGTTAATAATGCAGTCACGGATAGATCAAACCTTGAGTAACGCA